GGAAGCCAGCTCACCCCAGCATCATCTGCGCCGCCCCAGCATCATCTGCGCCGCCCCAGCCGCACGACGGCCACTGGCCCCGCCACAGACCCTGGACAAGCCTGCGGTGACGGGCACCTTCCCACCCCGCGCCCCCGGGAAGGGCGACGTGCCGGCACTCAGGAGCTACTGGCCATTAATTAGCTATGTAACGTGCCCAAGTCTTCAGGCCCACGTGATAAGACTCGACTTTCTTTCCTCTTTTTTTTTTTTTTTTTTTTTCCCCTGAGAAAGCCTTTTTGCACAATGTCCATTTTTAGCACAAACTGGAGTTGGATCAGATGCCTCACATGTGGTCTCCACTCTCCAAAAGGAGAGATCAGCACTTTTTTTCTCCAATGGTTTAACTACATGCACAAAAACTGAAGATTAAAAAAAATTCACTAATTCACTTTTTTCTGCTCTTACAGGCTGGATAGTCATGCTGCATCGGCACAGCCATCCTCATTCGCTCCTGTAACTTTTTTTTCATTATACTGGCTAATTATGTGAGCTAAAATGAAAGATTATAAACTACAAAACCACAGGCTTTAGGACAAAAAGTGATCATCAGCTGGGATCAGAAGACATTACGATATGTATGAGGACAATACAGTATTGCTTCTGTGGCTATAGCAAACACTTTGGGAAAAGAGATTTTTCAAAAGCTTTTTCAAGGCTCTCCCCTGTGGGTATAATGGGGTGTCCTCCAATTAACTGCCGTGGAATCAATTAAGTTATTGCTCAATTCTTCTGGGAAATTCCAACCAGAACTGGGAAATGTTGGAGATAAAGCACTGAGCAGATGGACTGCTGATGTGCTCTGAGATGCCAAATATATTCCTTTTTGTTACCGTCGGAAAACAGTCAGGCTTCTGGGGCAGACATTCCACTTCTCCTGCTAAGATCTCCCCGGCCAGCGTGGAACCACGAGGACGCCTTCCACGCAAGAAGCCCCACGTGCCAACGGGCACCGACACGGAGCAGCCCCCTGCCCTGGCACCACCACGCCTCCCTCAGACAGTGCTGAAAAGGTGGGGGGGGGGGAGCCGGTCAGAGAAAACAACAAATAACTGGAACAGTTTCCAAAACCTCAAGCCATTCTGGTTATTTTTCAGCTCCCCAACGGCTCTCTTCTCAAGCATGGTGAAAACGTTAGTTCGTGCTCTGGCCTTAGGAAAGGCCTGCCACGAAGTCTGAGCTCACCAAATCCCCAGGCAGAAGTGCAGAAGCAACTGAACTTAAGGTTGCTTTTCCACACTTGAACCTTTCAACACACCGGAGCCTGTCAACCATTAGTGACCATCCAAGTGGCAACGCTGGCAGGTATTTAGGTCCTCAGCTCTCCCATACATCCCTCATTACCGCTGCGTGCAGTGCTGAACACCCACAACAGCAGTGATCTGGTTCTCTTACTCTGAGATAGCTGTACATGCAGATGGACATCCAGTTGGTTAGCATCTTCTCCACCACAGATTCCGTTCTCCTCAGCATCAGCTTGGGGTTTTTGGAAGCTGAAGCGTCTATTAGATCCACCAAGAGGTCCTTCATGATGCTGGTGTAATACTCCAGTTTCCCATGCAAAGCAATAGTAAGCAGGGAGGCCAGGTTACACCTGAAATACAGAATTGTGGATGACTCAAGCACCAATCCAACAAGACTAAATGGCTGACTGGCATTAAAAAAAACCCAAAACACAAAGGCAGTATTTCAGACAATTTTCATGAGCCTTCTCAACAGTGTTAAAACTTCAAACCCTCTTTCAGTGCTGCAGGACCTTGGGTCAGCTTGCACCCTCTTACTGGTAAACCAAGTGTTTAGAGATACAAACACTCACGAGTGAGTCACTGCACCTTTTGGTGCTCTTAGGATAATGGAGGTTTATGGCCATCCGTTTCTAATAGAAAAGTGGGAGGCAAGTGCAACAACTTTCAACTGAAATGCATGGCTTCAGACATGGTCTGGATTGCTTACAAGTTAGGAATAGATCAGTCTCCTCCAGCTGCCACGTCTTTGATTCTGAAGCTCATACCTGTCTCTAACAGCAAAGTCCTTCTGTTGCTCGAGAGCATGGACAAACACGATGAGAAAGTGCTTGTTGTTGAGTAAGGTGGAGAACAGTGAGATTCCTTCTTCCATATTGGGTCTGCAGTTTTCAGGGATCTAAAGAAAAATTTAGAAAGGAGAGTGAGGAAAACCCTGGTTGTTGTTTTCCTCCAGCTTTTACCCTTCCTGACTGCAAGGATGTCCCTGCTGAACGCGGAGGTACTGAGCTGAAGACCCCTTACTCCCTCTGCTCGACACAAGTTGCTTTCCTGGCGAGGGCGCGACTGCGTCCAGGGCTGTATCAGAAGCTGCTCGGCCAGTGGAGCAGTGGCAGTGGCCATTCCTCTCTGTTCACCGCTTGTGAAGCTACCTGGAGTACCACGGCCAGATTTTGGGCTCCCCACTATGAGATGGATGTTGGCAAACCAGAGCAAGTCCAGCTGAGGGCTGCCAAAACAATTAGCGGGCATATGAGGAGAGGTGGAGAGAGCTGGGTTTGGTCAGCCTTAAGAAGAAGCGGTAAGGGGATATCGCACTGCAGCCTTCAGCTGCCCCATGGGAGGGCAGAGAAGACAGAGCCAGGCTCTCCTCTGCCAGCGCAGTGCTAGGACAAGGGGCAAGGGACACCAGCTGGAGCATGGGACACTGATTAAATATACAGAAGGAAGTTTTCACCTTTAAGGTCGTCGGACACTGGAACAGTGCCCCGAGAGGCTGTGGGATTTCCATCCTTGAAGATATTAGACACAGCTGGACAAGGCCCTCAGCAACCTCATCTAGTTGGAGCTGCTTTAAGCAGATCTCCCTTCCAACCTAAGCAACTCTCTGATTCTTCAATTCCTCCTTCTTGTCCACATGAAACCCAGCTCTGGGACAATAACAGCTTTTACCAAATCCCTGCTTGGGAGGAATCTCATTTATGATGAACTGCATATGGGACTGAAGTGACATACGATACGATACACCCGGGGAAAAAAAGCCCACCAGAGAGCTGGGGAGGATCTCAGGACAGAGCTCCTTCGTGTGAGAGCAGATCCACAGATCTGCCTTCTCCGATCAGCCAAAGCTGATCCGATGCTGGCACGTGTTAATTGTTTTGAGTGAACAAGCATCCCCCACACACCACAAGAAAACGCGTGGCATTGTCAACACACGCGAGTATGGTTAGCAACCAGGCAAGAGCGTTTGTTTTGCTAATGGGTTACTCACTTTCCATTCCCCCACCAGGAGCGGATGAGTTTCCTGGACCTGGGAGCCCACCTGGGAGCTGAGCTGCTGGGATGGCAGGATGTAGCACTCCTCGTAGAGCGAGGAACACTGCAATCAAGCACAGCGTTAGGGGAGGGCGGCTGCACCCGGCCAGGGACCTCCTCGTTTGCCATGCACCGCAAGGGAACGAGACGGAGAGACATGTCATCAAGCCTGAAGACCACCCATTATGAAGAAATGCATTGGTATGGCTTACGAAGCCTTTAAACACTTTGCAAGACCCTCTTGAATGAGCAAACACCACAAGAATGGGGGGAGGCAGATGTCTGCACAGACACGAGGCTGCTAGGGTATGGAGACTGCAAATAGACTAATTTGACAGATAGAAAAATCCCAGAAGAGAAAGCATTATAGAAGACTAAGTCAAAATAGAGGAGTACTGGGTGTTTTAACATATGTAACTTTTGAAACAGATGGGAAAAATGTTTAAATCTCTAACATTCATATAGCAGCCTGAATCTTAAAGACTCTAGTGTGCAGATATATAGAGATTGGATAACTTTAAAACCTGAGTAATAACTACTAATGAAACACTCTGCAGTCATAAATCATCATCTCACTCCTCACCACTGAAAAGCAGCTGCCTCAAGGGTGAAATACAGCCGCTGTTAAAGGCGCACAGCGACACAGCGGAGCAGCCGGTGACGGGAATTACGGCACCGGCGTGTCTGGTGCGGCTCTGGAGGAGGACTCTGGGTAGACAGACTGGGACTGGGAGCCCAAGGGACGTCTTACTGGGAGCACCAGCGCCCAGTCTTTGACAGAGAGGCGAGAAAGGGGGAGACGGAGACAGCTAATGAGCTCCTGAGGACCGGCGGAGCAGCTGGGAATGCTCGGTGGCACGCTGCGTGGAACAAAAAGCCCCCTCTCCCTGAACACCGACAGCAGATATGCCCTTCAGCCACCCTCCAGCCTCTGCTGAACAGAGCGGGGCGACACTGGAGCCCCTGGGGAGAAGGGGGAGTCCCCAGCACTTTCTGCTCACGTGAGAGAGCGCTTTCAGAAGGGGGGGGTCTGACGGCATCGAACGCGCGAGCCAGAGCGACTCCTGGGACGGTGCCGCCGCCAGGCTCCTGTCGTGTGCGAGCAAGCCTGACCTGACTTCACACCCCAGGAGCTGCGTTATTCTGACGATAATTGAGGCTGAAATATGTGACAACTAAATATATAACAGTGGAATGATTTTGTTACACTGTAGTAACCCTTTAGCAGAGGGAAAGCAGAGCCCTGACCTGGTTAGGAAGGACCTGGGAGCAATTAGGTGCCCGTGAAACGCGGTATCGCCTTACTTTGGGGAAGAACGTCCGGGTGACAAAGTGCTTGTACTCCAGGAACGGGATCCCCTGGCTGCGGTTTAACTCCTTGGTCAGGTCTGTCATGTCTGTCTGCAGTTCCGCAAAACCTTACACAAAGAGACCCACAGAGGGTAAGAGCTCAGGTACTCTACCAGCTGAGACAGTAAGCAGGCTGGCACTGAAAAACGCGGCATGCCTCATCTCTGCCTCCTTGAGCCTTTCCCTCGAGTGGGCTGAAGCAGGGTTTCTTGAGGAGCAGCAGATTACTGCCACGGTTTAGCCATCAGGACATTCATCATGTCCCGCAGCACTGACAGAGAGAACGTCTCCCTCGGCTCCAGGAGAGCAGCCCCCGCTCTGGTTCTGCAGGAGGAGGACCCCAGCCTGCGCTGCAGAGCGCCACGTACCGCGGGGACAGCAGACGCAGACGCTTGGATTGCTTCTCCCACTGCTCTAGCAGGAGCGTGCTGCAATTTTTGTTGCACCCAATCGTAAAGCACGCTAAAGATTAGCGTGGTCTTCAAGCAACCCTCTGACGTGGCCAAGGGCCGTCAACCCGAGGCAGGGAAACCAGCGGCACTGAAGATCAGTGGCGTGCCCAAGTCAGGCAGCGAGACAGCAGCAGAGCCACACTTCCAGCCACCGAGCCTCATTCACAAACCCTGCCGAAGCTCAACGGCAGTGACAGAAATTCTCCTATAAATAATTCTATAAACTTCTACAGAGTAGAAGGTGAATGGCTTCAACCCTGCTATTCCAGCATCTCCCTCCCAGTCCTGGCTCCTCCTCGGTGCCCAGCATGGTGACTTACCTTTGCGGATTTCCTCCCGGATCTGCGACTCCATCTCCTCCATCTGGAGCAGGGTTTTCTGCCAGTAGCGCTCCGCTCTGCGGCTCTTTGTGCAAAACACAAAGAGAGCTGAAAAAGAGGAATGGAACAAGCCTTTGGGACTACGGCTTCAGAGCAGCTGCAGCTGGGATCAGAGCGGTCCTCTGCTGACATGGGTGCGGAAAGCTAAACTCAGTATTGGTTTAACACCTACAACAAGACTGGTATCTGATCAGGCAGTTGTCGATTATCTGTAAATAAGTAAAACCAGCTGGAATTTAATGATCATGCTGTAACTGTCATCTTCAATTTAGGTCTGGGCTGTCTATATTCAGCTTAATTGTATATTAATGTATTCCAGCTGATTAATGAATACAGATTTTAAGATGTTTACCACCTGTATTACAGTGTTCATGTCTGACAGTCTTCCCATGCCTCCAGAAATGTTTCTAATGAGGGGTAGTGCATTTAATAAATAGTGTGCATTATAGCCTTTATTAAAAATAAATTAAAACCCTATTAGAAACACCTAATTTGCTGTGAACTGACAGGTTTCTTGCTTCACAGGCATTCTGGGCATGCGATGAGAAGATACCCTAGCCAGAGGACACAGGTGTGTTGCAGAGCTTCCAGTGAGGTTCGCAAACTGCTGTGTCTGCTCCAGATCTGTAGCTAAGGACGCTTGCTCTGTCCTCCATGCTCTTTGCCAGGCGCCTGTCACTGGCTGTTGCTGACGACAGGACCTTGGGCTAGGTGGACCTTTGGGATGGTCTGGGACAGTCATGACTGTGAGCGAGCCCTATTCAAGTCAGTACGAGTCCAAGACCAGTTTCTCACCCCCTTCTTTATTTTGTATTACAGTAGCTACTAAGTGTTGGGGGGAAAAGCGTAAGTTTATAAATATCACAGGCTTAAGTAACAGAGCTGAACTATGGATTCAGCCAGCAAATGCTCCATGCTGCAGGAAGCTTTGATCCTGGGTACTGGCTTGGTCGTGTACAAAGAAGAGTGGCTACTTGCTGTGCCCGGGCCAGTTTCAGATACTGCACAGCTGCAGCACTCGGAGGTTTCCTAATGTGTGAATGAATCATCTTCACCCCTCCACATGCAATGAGAAAAAACCTCGGCAAAGCCTGGAAACTCACTGTTCTGTTCCCTTACCTACAACGGAGAGAACCAGCAAGATGCTGCAGATGACAATGGAGACGATGATTGCGGTCTCTCCTCCCCCAAGGTGAAGCATTGCAACTGTGTAGTTGAACTTTCCAACTTGGATCTAGAGAGGGAGAAGGAGGGAGGAAAAGCAGGAGCTGAGCAGCACGTTGCCAAGCTGCTCAGAGGTCGAGCAAGGAGGGACTGCGGGGCAGCGCTCGGCAGGCCTTCGCCCAAGGACGTACTGACCATGCTGGCTCAGCCCACCGGGCTTCGCAGGGAGCTGTGCCTTTCACTGCTGGACCTCGGGGACTTTGTGTGTCTCAAAAGAGCCCCGTTCCCTTCCTGCGTGCTCCGGTGGAAAGCCAAGGCTGGCTCACAGCAGGCTGCAGTGCTGCAGTGGTGCCCATCCCAGGGCCACCACATGGCCTCGGTGGCAGAGCCACAAGCTCCAGCCCACGTCACGGCCCCACCGTACCCACCCCTGAGCACAAGACAACCCTTTCTTAGAGAGCTCACCGTGCCATATAGTACTGCCCGTACTACTTTTACTAGAAAACTGCTTCCACTAATCATCCGACTTTGTTATGCCTCTGAACGGCCTTTGAATCCCAGCTGCACTCTCCTTTCTCCTCCAAAAGCAGAACTGCTGCCACTCAGGAGAAGGAGGGCAGAGAAACTTTAAAGTCTCTGAAATACAAATAAAGTAAGGGAATAAAAACAAATAATAATGAGACCAGAGATGAGTAATGTTCTTGCGGCTAAAGCAGTGGACTGGGTGTCAGGAGGTGCTGGCTCTGCTCCCAACCTGTACTTCTTGTGACACCAAGCACAACCCACTTGAGCGCAGCCCTTCAGCCTCCTGATCACCAGAGGGGGAGAGGCCAACGCACACCACAGACAGGCTGGCAAGCTTACTCGGCGCTGTTTATAAACGGCTCTCGAGGCCCCTGGGATGAAAGGGTTCAACAGCATCATCTGATAAGGAAAACTCATGACCACGCAAGTCCTTCACTTCTGGAAATGTGAGTTTCACTTCTCTCAAGGAATGAGAAGCCAGAGAAACTCGAGCCAAAAAAATGAAACGAGGTAGGGAAGAGATGGAATAATCTTATCATTGCATCTGCGTCATGGAGCACCCCTGGGCAAAGTGCACACCGTGGCTAAATTACAGTCAGCCCTCAGCAGCTGGGCCAAAGTAGTGCCACAAGCAGGGCCTTCCCACCACGTCCACGCATAAAACACCACGCAGCGCACAGCTCCATGCCCGCCGGGAAACCCAAGCCCTTGCTCTCGGGTGCGCTGGCGAGGGCACTGATGCTGCCAGCCGAAGGCATCCAGACAAGCCTGGGGGTCTGCTCCCTCCACAGGCAAGAGAGGAAGGACTGCCCCGCTGCGGGCAACACCGGCTGCCATCACCCCATCTTGGGGTCAAGAAAACCTTCAGCGCCTCCGACCATCAGTGCTGGACCAGACGGCCAGGCTCCCGTGGCTCCAAGCCTCAAAGTGCCCTTGTACCAACCCTCAGACGGCCTCTGACGGTTCCTGGGGTGGTGCCTCCGGGCAGCATCCAACACTAAGAGCTTCGGTCTCCTACCCAGTGTGCGCGGGAAGGGGACAGGGAGCCATGAGCACTGCACAAGCATCTGCGGAGGTTCGTTTGACACTGCACAGCACCCTGCCTAGCCTCAAGATTTCCACCTCTTTCGTCTAAAATGCTGCAATGAGGCAAGTCCTTGATGCGTTTTGAGTCTTTTTTTTTTTCCCACCAACTCAACCTTTTGCATTTGTCAGAGGAGAAATCCCACGCTTGCTGTTTAATTCAGTGTTTAAACAGTTTGGTCATGAACAAAAATGGGTTTGAAGGCCTTGGCAAGCTTCTCTTGTTTATTTGGACAGATCTACTCAATACAACTCTTTATAAGGGGAATTAATTAGGCTGCAGGTTAAATGGCAGCGTTTCCTGTCACCAGCACGTGGTAGGGGTGCAGAAGGGCCCGGGGCCAGAGGACTCCCCGCTCCCGGGAAGAGCTGTTGGGGCTGGGCAGGACTCCTGGGGCACGGGGCCGCCTCGGGGGTCACCGGGAACCGCGCTCCAGCTTATGGGATGGAGCCGTCGTGCAGCCTCCCACGGTGCCAACAGGATCCCTTTGGGACTAAACTAGACCAAAATCAAGCTCCAGCTCACCTAAGGCACTCCCAAAAGAGCTGCTCGAAAGTGACCCCCAAAACACAGGGAGGCTCAGGAGCCCCATCTTCATCACCAGCTCCTTCTCCCTACAGGCAGCTCCTGCTGCCCTGTGCGACCTAACGTGGACCTGGCCCGAGAACACCTTCACAGAACAGGCATACCCAAAATCACAGTCAGAATTAAGATCAACAGTGGGACGTGTTTTAAAGGGCTGTTTTCCTGTGCTCTATCACTGCAGATGTGAGCTCTACCATCTAAACAAGAGCAAACGGGGCAGTCACAGCAGCAGGCGTCTCAGCTCGCCAGAAGGGAGAATTTGCATCAGCAGATGAGGCTTCTGCAGCCCCCGATAGCTGTCCTTGATGGTACCACATAGGGACCACTGCGCAAGTCCAGCCCCGTGTTATCAAAGCTATCACTGGTATGTTATGAAGGCAGCTGTCGCCTACGAAATGGCCAGCAGGCGATAACTCAAACCACGTATGAAGGCTGAGTAAGCGCGCACGGACATGAATACAAGTTGATTATTTAGCTGCACTCTCACTGCTGGTGCACTCTTAATAGCTATGCGATACTTTAGGGCTGGGTATCATTCTCCTGCTTCCTAGGGACCTACCAGGCCATTGCCCTGAATGTTTTATGTCAAACCAAGATTAGGAAACTCATAAATTCCTTTTCTTCCCCAAAGGGATTTCCCTGTTTCTCAGTTCTCACTAAAACCAAAATTACCCTGTTTAAAATTTCCATGAAAATGACTTGGGGAATTCTGCTACTTCTGCATTTCCAGGTTTCCAGTTTGCAACAGAACTTCCTAGACCACAGACTGTAACCAGTAAACCCGACAACCCTGCCAGTGACTTGGTGGTGCATCTTCATGCCTTTCTTCTGGGAAGCGCAAGTCCACAGCCTCCTCAACTCCCTTTGCAGCCTTCCTCCTCCTCCCTGCCCACGCCACAGGCTCCCACCCATTCACTGCTAACGCACGGACGGGGAGGGGGGCTGCAGGGTCTCAGACCGTGGAGATGGAGGCATTTGTTCTTTCCAGATACAAAGAGCCACAGTCACATCCCTGCGTGGCAATGGGCTGCATATGACATGAGGGAAACTGAGGGCGAGAAGAGCAGTAAGTCAAGCCCTCTGTGGAAAAAAGGACAGTAACAAAGTATTGTGAATTTTGCAGTCACAAAGATGAACAACAGCCCTGAACACTGCACTCTTCACAGTGACAAAACGGCAGCCGCTGGGAAGCAACACGAAACCTTCCAGCCCTGCATACTCCTCTTGCCCTCCCTGGTCACACGCAGGCACCCATCTCCAGTGGCTTACTGGAGCTTGGTAAGGGTGGATTCTCAGGTCCCCTTGTAGCTCTTCTGCTGGCAGGAAGAGGCCAGCTTACTGAAAACTGTATGGAAATCCCCAAATGTATCTCACGAGGGACAGAAAGAAAATTACTGCAAGTGACAAAACCTCACATGCCTGCGATTTCACAGTGCCTTACAAGAACTGACAAAATCTTCCCCCTCACCCCCTCCAGCAGTTTACAGCACAGTTAGCTCAGTAGGCAGCTGCTGGTGCCCCACGGTTCGGAGCGTGGCAGCCCCTCTCCGTGACTCAGGGCAGCCTTAGCACTGCGCCTGCATCCCGCCAACAAGCCGCCCTGGGGACAGGCGCAAGCGCAGCATGCTCTGTCCACCTTTCGGTCGGCGTGGTCAGTGTGGCTTTCTGCAAGGCTGCCTGGCAGCGTGCTTGGCAGGTCCTGCCCGTGCACGCAAGCTGACTGCTTTGCATGCAGGGCTTGCAACAGGGACCCCTTCTGCCCCGCGTGCTCCGTGTGGGGAGGCTCCTGGAACTCACTGTCACCGGTAACTGTCTTTCCGAGGTGCTCAGCGACTCGTTGACAGAGCAGTGGATGACTTTGTCCGAAACAATCTGGATCTCGCATGAGATCAGGCCAATTTTCACTTGGTACTCGTTGCTTTCCAGGCCCAGGCTGTCAGGCTCTTTCTAATGACAAAAATAGAATCAGGATGTCAGTCTGTAGAGTAGCAGTCGGAATTGCAACCGATTTTCCTGCTTTACTTTTTGTATTCCCTGCTGTTTTTCAGACCTGGGAGGACTCTCCCTCACCAGTGACATTTTTCCAGCACTCCACAGGAAACCCTGAACCAGGCCATCCCCCATTTTCCTGTTTCCCATTCCTCACTCAGCATGGGGCATGGGACGAGCAAGCCCCTCATGGAACCTGGAAAAACCTGCTTTTGATCTGCCCCGGCTGTGCACCGCAGATAAGGATCTAAGCGCCCACCTGGGAGGGGGGAAGGATGTACAACAGAGGAGATAGCCGGGGGATGCGTCTGCAGAGCCTGAGAAAGGGGGAGCGCGTTTTCTGAAGGACATTGCAACCAGTGAGGATATCCTGCAGTGAACAATGGCCTTTGAATTACTACTGCACATTGTCCAAGCCACTCAATTGCTGTACCCCGACTTCCTTGTTCACTGAGCTGAATTCAGTAGCCAAAAAAGAAGAATGCATGACCTGTTTCTGCAGGAACAAATATCTATTGTCAGGACCTTCTGGAGTACCTGCCTGACTTCAGGCCAGTGCATTATCATTCTTTTTCATATGTCCCGTATTTTATTTAGCTTCTTGCCATTACATCCTCTAAATGCAGCTCTCTGTCGTCATGCCTCAAAGGGCATCCTCAGGTCAGGCTGTGTCTCCCGGTGAAGACTGATGCAGGTGCAGCAGGCTGAGCAAGAACTGCCTGCTCCTGCACAGCTCCTGCCTCTCCTGTCCTCATCCGCCCCCTTCTCCCTCCCGCGTTTGTGGACAGCCACTGTGCCAGCACTTAGGACTGGAGAGCTTCCCAGTGGGGAGCAGGAAACAGCCCCGAAGAAGCAGAGCTGTAAATGCCACTCTCTTACGTGTATAACCAGAGTTAAGGGCTCGCCAGGATGGTGCTTGATCCACTTCTCCTTCTTGGCTGTGAAGAACTGGGGGTCAGCATAGTACTCCAGGCTGAACTTGCTGATGTGCAAGGCCTCCTCAGGGTACATCTCCTCATCCAGAGCCGGACGGTCATCTGCATAGAGGCGACCGTTGAGATAGAAATCGGCAGGCGCGGGCTTGCTCCCCGCAGTGACGTTGGAGGCAGCTGGAGAGGGGCAGGTGATCACAGTGTCGGTGTGAACCTTACAGCTCTGAAAGCAGGAGAGAGCATGCACATAAAAAAAAATGACATCCTGAGTGCTCCCACGCAGCCTTGCTCCCAGCCCAATCTGTAGCACGGGCTAAGGCCTCAGCTTCACACCCCGAACATCGTCAGGCACCGGGCACGCAGCTCTGCTCCCAGTTACCAGGCGATACCCAGCAGGGACACCCACCGTTTGCTCTCTGCCAATGCCACGGACCACCATGGACACGTTCTGGACCAGCTCAAAGCCTCTTCCGTCCAGGGTGATGATCCTGCCCCCGCTTCCAGGAGAAAGGAAGAAAGAGAGGGTGATTGCAGAGCACAACACAGAGCAGCGAGATGCAATGGCTGGGCGTCGCCTGCTGTCATTTTCCCAGGGACGTTTCCCAGCTGCTTGAGCAGAGAATGTAACCCAACAGCCAAACTCTTCCTCCTACTTGCAGCGAGCACCCACACTGCTACCAAGACATCAGGGAAAGAAGGAGGAGCAGCAGCTGCTGCGGTGGAAAGGGGGGGACCTCTTCCAGCAGCAGGAAACTGCCCCCCTTGCTCCCACTCCTCAGAGGAGCAGCCCGCTTCTGCGTGCCAGGGGTACGCAGCAGGTTGCCCAGGCCACCGGCAGTGTAAGAGGTTAACCTCCAACCCCTCAAAGCAAGGGCCAGGAGATATTCCCCGTCCCTGCCGCACAGTGACCCTCAGAGAAATGTAAGTCTTGGGGAGGGAAGAGACCCGTTTAAGGTCGACAGGGATCCTGCATCTCCCAGTCACTTCTGATTTAGATCAAAATGTGAAAGTTGTTTTGTGTTTTGGATCTGCTGCCTGGAGAATGCGAAACATGGGCGTCTCAATGTGCAGTCAATTAACAACAGTAATGAGGGCCCTGATGCGCACAAGACTGCTAGGCAGCGCAAGGGGTGGAAAACCAGCACCGCTTGTTGGCTCTGGACAGCAGAAGCTCTACCCTGGGTTTACCTTCCCCTTCCTCTGCATCACATTTGATCTGCTTGGAGTATCTGTCAGGAACAGTCAGGACTTACAAATCCCATTATCTCAAGAATACTCCACACACGGTGACTTTGGGTCCAAGGCCTGAAAGTCAGGTTGTCTGAAATCTTTTACAACGCTGTAGATATTACCACGTAGTTACGATCCAAGTTTCTAACTAAGAGCCTGTCACATCTGCAGATGCGTTTACAACTTCTGTTTTGTTTTAAACTTTGCTTACACAGATTATTTTAGCAATATGGTAAGATAAATCAGATACAGCTAAACTTTTTCACAAGTTATTGACCCCTCACGGTCAACAGCCCAGCAACGCATTGGAGCAGCCAGGCTGCATGAGCCACCCAGCAGTCTGAAGAGAGAGACTGTCACATTCTCAGTGGTTTGAAATTTGGAAACTGCTGTAAATACTATGAAAGCAGACTAAGGTGACAGAGAAATACCCTGGTGGTTTCCCTTGTGAATATGGCCAGTGACATTCTTCCACTGTCTCTGTGTTTAGATACCGTTCTCGCCACTCAGCATAGTTTGCAAGCCTGCTAGGAGCTGAGGTTGGCTGAGTCACTGCTGCGCCTTGTCATTAACTTTCCCACAGCCTGCATCTTTGGCGCTGCGCTTGGGAATGCCGAGACACGGCTTTGCTCCAAGGCGATCAGACCGTCAGAGCCTGCTGCGGGCTTGCGCCCGAGCGTGCTGCTTTCAGCGTGGTCCTGCAGGCACAGGCGCTGGACTCTCAGATTTCTTGGTCAACCCTGGGTTTTCCAGGCTCCACAGCTGAGGAAGGTGGGATTTCACCACGGTATCCAAAGGAACAGGAGCCTGAGAGCTCCACAGAGACACATGAAATTAAAAGCAACATGCTTTAAAAATGAAATACTGTGACCTCAGGGAAGGCTGAAATCCAAAATTACAAATCTCAGCTTGTCCTCCAGCAGTTTTTCTGCCAAGAAGAATCCTCAGGGTCTCATAAAGCCCCCCACCTGAACCTCCCTAAAGCACCCACCAGGTGTACACAGTACAGTTACCAAGGCTGACTTTCTTCCATGTCTTAAATGCACTGAAATGAGCTATGGACAGCCCTGGTGTGCGAGACCTCTTCTACTCCAGTGCTGGGGTACCCCAAAGCACCCCGAGAGCTCTCTGTGGTGCCCCTTTCGTAGCTGTCTGCAAGGCAATGTCTCAAACCCCAGGGCTGAGAAAGCCCCTTTCTCCCTGCAGGACCCTCTCCCACCAGCCTGGAGCCGACCCTCCCTTTTGCAGGCAGATGCATGAACGTGCCAGCTCTGAAATGGAAGTCGTGATGCTACAACAGCGTGGCATGGGGCCCCGATACCATAGCCTGCCTCCTGGCTGTGCTTCAGCGACTCCTGGGGCTCCTGACATGGGGTTCGCTCAGGACCTACTCTGCGCCTGCTTGGCTCGAAGCACAGACAGGGTGAGCTCGCATTGCAGCAGGCTACACCAGGATGCTGCAATCAGCTCTGCGCTTTCACGGGAGAGCACTGTTCACTTTTTCATTCGGCAAAAATTAAGAGGCTGATGTCAACAAAGGCCACAAATCCTGGCTGACTTAGCTGTCTCTGCTGGGGGAGGGATCTCACCTGATCTGGCTCTTTTTGGGGTTGATATCTGATATAATCGGGTTCTTCTCATACTTGAACGTGATGTTGTAGCTGGCACAAGACCTGTTCTCGAACTGGACGCAGACTCGCACGGCCGTGGTGAGCTCCGCGGATGGCATGGTGCAGGTGATGGTGCTGTCGTTGCGGCTGCGCAGGGAAAGGCAGGGTAAGCTGCAGAAAGGCACGGCGGAGCGGCCGGAGCCAGGCACCGCAGACCTGAGCCTCCCCAGGGAAGCGAGGCGGTCAGCAGAGACAGGCAAGAAGGAGCTGCCAGTCACATGCCAATCACCTATTAACTACATTGCCTACTAACAAGCGGTTCTGTGCATATACCATCCCACGCTGCCAGACTGATTTCCCATATAGCCAAAGGAAAAGGGCAGGCTCCTACTCCTTCCCACTGATGAGATGGGAACGTACAGGAGGAGGCGTTTCTTCCGACCAGCGAGCTGCCGCAGCAGCGGGACCCTGGGCACGCAGGTGCCTTCTGCCTCCAGCAGATCCAGGAACGAAGCCCATGTCTGCTTCACTCCCAGGGTTTTGGTCCTGGTCCCAGCCCACCCAGGGGGCCGGGCAGCGTCCTGTGGACGGTGCGCGAAAGCACGGCGTTTGCTGCCGGTCGCCGCCGCCACATCACGGCAACACCAACGCCATCGCTTTGCCAAAGAAATGCGCCCCATTCTGCTGTCGGGCGCCCACACCGCAGCTCTGCCTTACCACTCCGGGGATAGCAGGCTGATGGGGTGCTGGAAACGGAGCAGGCGGCAGCCAAGCAGGCCTGGAGCTAGGAGCAGCATGCAGTGGTGCTCCCCACCCAAACCCCAGCTCCTTCTGATCTCCTGGGGGACAATACCATCCTAATGCTTTGGCTCTGGTCACTAGTGCAGTGCCCCCAGAGCCGGTCGCACCTGAGGTCAGTGCACTGCTTGGACGTATTGACGAGGACGCGGAGCTCAGAGCCGACATCCAGCCGGCTGCCTCTGATGGTCACTCTGGTTCCTCCAGCCTTCGGGCCGTTCAGGGGAGCTATGGACTGCACCACGGGAAGCTAAAAACAAAGGGGAAATCTGTTTTCTAGCCTGGTAAATTCGCATTTGGATACTCCACACTGCACACGGGAATTGCTTCAGTAAATTTAAGTACCCAGTATTGTGAGTTTCTGAAACAGCAGCACAACAAAAGCTTTCACTGGCGGGGTTTCAGAACAAGGGGACAGGTACAAGTGCTGAGGAGTGAGATCATAGAAAACCCCTGTGACTCTCTGCAGTCTCTAAATTCTGGCAATAAATGAGACAACAGTCCAAACTGGAGCCCAGGATCCCACCAGTCCCTTGAGATTTCCAACTGCGGGTCCAGATCTGGCAACAGCTCAAGGGCCACCAACAAAAGGAAATTTCTCATTCATGCCAGCTCCCACCACCTCTGCCCTTCCAGACCCATTTCCTCCTGAATGCAAAGGTAATGCTAAAGCCCCGCTGGATGATGGCCTTGAGATCTGTGAAAACAGCCACCTGAGTCTACATAATTGAATATCAAACTCCTTCTTAAGGAAGCTTCAAATCTGAATCTCTTGAGGTGACAGGAACTAAGGGGGAAGTTGCTTTGCCTCTCGCCATTTTCAGCAGAAATTAGCATGTATGTTATCTGCATTTGCAGCCCCTGGAAATCTTCCTGAGATTCATGAGCTTAAGGCTTTGATAACTCATGCAGCGCCGAACCCTCATGCCTGCTACACAGAGCACCCCAGGAGAGTCTGCTGGGCAACTTCCCTGATCCGCTTTGAATAGGACACCGAGGGCAGAGCAAATAATTATTTCAAGGCTCTTCCACAGGGCACTTGGTAATTCCCCGTCAAACACCGCAAACCCCGGAGGCCCGGCGCGGCTGAAGCCCGCTCACTGCCGCAGCCCGTCCCTTGCTGCAGCCGCAGAGCAAAACCACGCCAAGGCAGGCTGGAGAACATGGGCTAAGCTGCTTCGTGCCGCCTGGCGCTAGTGCCCTTTCCTGTCAATCTCAGCCGCACAAACATGCTTATTAATAGCTATCCTTGCCCTTGTCCTACCCTCAGACTGCTTTACTTCTCTACAGACATTTCCTCTGTTGTTTCTGATCATTACCCATTTCCATGGGATTCATTTTGTTAATTTTTATTTCTCTGCGTGTCTGCAGGCAGCTGTCTCCTGCCCTTGGCCCCTAACCTATGCATTCAAATCTGTAGTTACAACAGCAGAGAGGATTATTCATGTTCCCCAAAGCCCTCCAGCTCTTCCCCTCAGCAAGAGCCAGTGGCTACTGCTCTCAGTGCACTGCCAGCACTGATTGCCTCCATCGCAACTTTTGCAAATTCAGCTCATTCGGCAAATTCAGCTCATCCATAGCCTGCTATAATGTCCTGGAGAAGTCTCTTGATCACATTACTCTCTCCTCCTCAGCAGAATTACAGCTGTATACTGTCTCTTCTAGATACGTCTAATGGGGACTTTGAAAAGATGTAGCACACAAACAGCATTTGGTGTTTTACAAAGGACTTTCTTTGGAAGGGCAGTTCTAAGTCTTTTAGACTTTTTCAGGTAAACTGCTATCAATGCTCAAGCTCAGGTCTCACCAAGACCAGCCCTGCATGGTGTAGTCTACTCCATCTTCATGCCACTGTATGTGAGAGGAGACTTAAGAAAACTAAACGGCATTGCTTAGTTTGCCAATGTTGCGGGAGCCACGTTTGGTGTGGAACACAGCAGCAGCTACACATCGCGCAGCTTCACTCGCTGGCGTGCGCATGCGCAGAGCAGGGCGCTGTCTCTTCTCTTCTTCAAGCTTTGCTGAGACAGACACAAGACAGCTTTCTGCTGTGCCACCCGAGCAGAAAACAGCTCCTCTCCTGCTCCCAGGAGGACAGCCTTTGCCATAAGCCTGCTCAGGAGCTGCCAGCACAGAGCTCTCATGGACCCGGTCTGAGTTCAGCGACTGGCTTTTGCTCCTCTTGCTTTGTTTAGCGCTGGTGCATTTGCAGGTGTTTCCTGAGAGGGCTTTTCCTTGCTCACCAAAAGCTGGCAAAGAAGCCGCCCAGCCCTTTCCCACTCCTCAGGCCCTTCTCCTCCTGTCGAGAAGACAATCGGCAGCAGGTGATGTGGCCGAGTCAGCACACACATCCTGATGGCAATGCACCAGAAATCCCAAAGCCAAGGTCTGTTACTGGGTCGTACCCAAGCTGTACCTTGCTCCACTCCAAACCCCTGCATCTCTGAGACGTTTTGGGTGTGAACACGGACACCTGGAAATGATGGGAATGGGTCCCAGAGCAAACATCCTCCTGGGAGCTACTGCTGAGGCAAGCCCGGCAGTGCCCTCGCCCCAGCGGTCCCCTCCTCGCGCGCTGCCAGGCCTGGCTCTGCTACGGGGCGCTGGGATGTGCCATACCTATGCAGGCTGCACTCTGCGTAAACCTCTCTGGACTAAATGCCTAGCACGTCATCGGGTACAGTGGGGGGGATTACATTCCATGACCCTGCCTCAAATTCCTCACAATGGCTACCAGGAATCAGCTGTTGTTTCCTGGGGCTCAAGTCTTCTTCCAAGCCACTAGACTGCAGCACAGTCTATTCTTCCCCAGTGCAAGCACAAAGGCTCCAAGTAAACAGCATGTCCTTGGCACCCATCCTGTTGTGTTTGCCCTGGACGCACGGGGCTGCCTGTGAATAGCATCTAGCCGGAGACGAGGGTGCTTGTAGGAAAGAGAAGAGCTGCATGGATCTGTTTCAGGTTTATAGAGATGAAAGTAATCTTTGTGAGATGGTACAGTACAAAGCTATAAAGGGCTTTTCTTTGTATAATGACACAGGGTTAGCTCAAGCCTAATCCCTACACATTATTCTCATGCAAAAACTAAGACAATCTCTGCAGCAAAAAATATCAGTTCTAAATAATGTGAGTCCATGGCACGTACCTACATAGCAAAAAGAGACTTTGCAAGTCTCAAAAAACCTCACAGGTTGTAACAGCACTTTAGTGAAAGAGGAGGAAGAAAAACCAGGGGCGAGGAATCGCGTCAGCTGCTCCTCAAGGACCCTGCCGCTTTTTGTCACAGATCCTCTTTGTAAGCCAGCTGGGGGCACGGGGGTGGCGGGCTTGCTTTAAGGGGTGCAGGCAACGTCAGCGTGAGCATCACCAAAGAAGCATCCAGGAGGCAGGTACTCACCACGTAGGAGTATCGCTCCCTGGACTTCCCTTCCCGGCTCACGTTAACCGTCACCACATCAGAAAACGCCTCCTGAGCCTCTCCGGTCTGGCACACGATCCTGCGGACAGGGAAGGGGAGGTTGGTGGTCCTGCCGCCCCTCCGGAGCAGAAGGGCAGAGCCCACAACCTCCTCCTCCTCCTCCTCCTCCTCCTCCTCCTTGGGAACGGGGCGAGCGACGGGGACGGGGAGGCACAGGGATGGGCAGGGGACGTGAAGGGGACAGGGAGCCGACACTCACGCCTCGGAGACAACGTATCTGTCGGGCAGCGGCACGCACTGCACGCTGCCTATCCTGACGGCGCCAAGGATGTCGCTGAAGCGGCGGCCCAGGTTCCTCCCGCGGATGGTCAGCAGGGTGCCCCCCTCCAGCGGCCCGCGCAGCGGCTCGATCTGCGGCACCAAGGGAGAGGTTGGAGCAGAACCAGCAGGAAGCTTCCGGCCTTCATCCCCGAGCCTGTGTCCACATCCCACTTGCTCCCCCGTGAAGAAGACAGAATTGCTCCTCATGCTCCTGCTCCCCCCGCAGCGGGCCCACTGCCACGGTCCCCTTGCTGCAGCGTTGCAAACGAGAAGCCACCACTGGGTTTGGTACCGCGGTTTGGTCAGGGATTACTCCAGCTGCAAACACATCTGGGGTGAAACATCGCTCCTTCCACACCACAGCTTCGAATGGAGTTAGGGCAGAGACAAACCCGGAGACTTGGAAACCCAGAGGAGGAGGAATGCTAGCGTGCTGGGAAAAGAGAGTCCTACCACCACGTTTTTAAGGGCTGTCCCGAACACAGCGGGGCCTCTGAGGACAAAAACAAGACAAAAAGCGTCCTGATGCACGGAGCACGGCCAAGACACCAGCACTGCGGCACCCCGGGGCGCAGGACAAGTCCGGCGCTGCGGGAGGAGAAGGCTGCTCCGCATCCATCTCCTGCACCGCTGGTTTTTCACCTGGCAGCTGCTGACCCCGCCGCTGCGAGGGGACGCGGGGTGTGATGCCGTTCTACCGCGCGAGGGGTGTCCCCGGGCAGCGTGACTGCATTATTCAGCGGGCAAGACAAATCCCTCCAACTCAGCAATGTCTCTTTTTCCTTGGCAAAGGCGATGGCACACAAAGCCCACGCAACGTGCCTGGCGGCACCAGCTGGCCAAGCGGGCCATGGCTGGGCAGGGCCCAGCACCAGGCTCGGTGCCCTGCTGTGCCTGCTGCATTGCCCCCCGCCCCAGGAAGGCTCTGCAAGGGCTTGTTTGCTTGCGTGACTCTGGAGGATTTGGATTTACCAGCTACTATTTGCTAAGAAAACAGCGCCAGAGTCCTGTGACGCTCTACGACCTGAACTGTGGTTTCCTTCCATTATTTTCTGGCGAGGTGCTGATAACGCTTGATGTGTGCTGGGGAAAGACAGGATCATGGGGGAGCACCCCTCTCCCACGGTGACGAGAGGGAAGAGGCAGGCGATGGGGATCCTGCAGTCCCTAAATGCAGTGTTACAGCACCCGGATTTTGAGCAGCTATTGCTACGTGCCTCCCTAAGAACAGAAATCCCATATCCCTGCCGATTTTGATGTTCGCATTAGCTGCTTTGCCTCTCCAGCTTCTCCTTTCCTAGGGATCACATTTTAAGATTTGCTCTATATACTTTCTTTGCTACTTGTCAGGGACAAATTTGTTGGCTCATACCATACCTCTACACAGAACCCCAGATCCAAATGCCCCCAACAAACATTCATTCAACTACAATTTAAATAAAACTCATTTCAAAATGCATAATACCAAAAGGTCCCTCTGTCACTGTTAATCTCAGCAGAACTGCAGAGCATGTGCCTGGAGATAGGGCTCACATTCACATTTCAGCTATGCTCCATTAAACACTATTCCTGATAAGAATCCTTCAGCCGGCCCTACAAATCTTTCTCACTTTTACCAACCCCAGGAACTCTGGGGCATTTTGATTGTGCTGGTGGTGTTTTTCCCACTAACACAACGAAGACTGGATCTTGTCACTAGCAAGATGTCCTTGGCATCAGATGACTCAACAGCATAGAAAGTCAGAGAACAATTCAGTGCTGGTCTTGACCCTGTCCTGTGCCAGGGACAAAGCGCGGTTCCTCCTTTGCCCCCAGCTGGGGACAGCGCAGCCGGTTCCAGCCCTCCGCATCGCCTGCCATGCCACGCGCGCCCTCCGCGTTGCATTCGGGTCTTACCTTCTTAATCTCCGGAGCTGGACAGACGTCGGAGACGTGCGGGGGCTCGCTGTGCAGCCTGCAGCTGGAGCTGCTCTCACTCCAGACGCAGCGGTGCCCCAGGTCCTCCCTCCCCAGGCACTGAGAACAGTCAGCACTCCCAGTCGCACAGTTGTACACCTCCACTAAACCACCAGAGACAACAGAAAATGTGAGCTCCTGGGCTGGAGACTTTCACAGCTTTGCTTAGCCTGAGGCGGTCAAACACCCCCCCGCTCCCCCTGCACCCCCCGGCTACATTAATCCAAGTAACATCTGAAATGCAGTGGATGAGCGGAGCAGCTTGCACGTACAGCAAGATGAGGCAGCGCTTGGCTGCCATCCTGAAGATTTCCCAGAAGGACTGGGTGCTTGTTCTCACTGCAATATAATTTAGCACTTTCTTTTCCTTTTTCTTCCCTTTGAAAAACAAACAACACCCAAACTCGGAACCTTTTGTCAATTTATGCTACATGTTTCCAACTCTCAGCATCCACATGGGAAGCTGCTTTTGCAAGGCTGGCTCCATCCTGTTAGCAAAGCAATCACATTGCTTCCACACTCTGACAAAAATCGGATGGTTACAGTGCTTTGTACAGTGTTTACAGTTCCTTTCCTTCCCCCTGGTGACCACGGGCCCCTTTCATTGACTTCTCCCTCCAGATCTGCTCAGCTCAGCTTCCACATCATTTTCCTACACCGCTTTCACCTCTTCATTAGCTAGTGCCCTAGGTTACATTTCCTCTCCAGCCTAAAGACTTCTGCTGCTGGAGTGTGGGTATCCGCTGAGATAAACAGCCAGAAACACTCAGGAAATGTTGCTTTCACACCCTTTCCCCCGAGGAGACTTTGCAGGAGAACATAAAACAAAGAAACAGTCACATTTTGCACTTCTGTTCATGGGAGGATCTCGAGGCGCTTCATAAGCAACTAACGAATCCCTCAGCCCTCAACGCTCTGCCTGTGCTCATGCTAACGAAACGTCATCGGCACCGAGGGAGCCTCCCATTCTCCACAAAAAAATGAGCTTATTTCACCTAATCTTGAGTCTACCCAGTGAATGACACTGGTTGGTTTTCCACCCAACAGCAAAGGGCTGGGATTCCTTCAGTGGACTACCAAAACACAGTTTACAATAAAAGCTAATAAATATTGAAATAACGGACACTAATAGCAGTAATTCCATTACAGTATAAAAGATGCACACATTTATAATTGGCCCGGCAGATCTCTGTCTCTGCTTGCAAGTCAGCCTCTCTAATGTTACTCGCACCAATCTGATCAAGGTGAGGAGGAGCCAGAGCAGTCTAACGGTCCCACAGATCTCCAAATATTGTGGCAAATTCAGATCGATGCAAACACAGTCTGCGTAAGTGAGCTCCTCCTCCGTGCAGGAGGGACGGGGATTCCACACTCTACTCCCAGCACCACCCACACTGAGAACTAAGAGTCTTCTCTTGCACATCAAAATAGTCTTAGCTCAGATCTCCCACCCCTCTCCTCGGGGCTACCTCTGTATCTCGAAAACACGGACACCCTCTTCTTTCTGCAAGGAAGTCATGTCTCATGCCTACCCATGCTGGTATTTCAAAGGTTATTTCACCAATGTGGAATGCTTTGCAAGATAAGCCTCCTTTATATACTGGGATTTACTATGGGGAAACCTTTTTATCCTGGGTCAGTGGCTGATGGTATTAATGTCTCTCTACCTATTACAGCCATCCTCTAAAGAAAAAAAAAAAAATTCTCACTTCAGGCATCTAGTTCTCATTTGCATCGAGGGTAAATCAGTTTCTTCTACTACAATTGCTGACACTACTGAGAGGGAAAAGAGCCCAAAGCTGCTGCCTCCAGCAGAGCACATTGCTAGGTGCAACACCGAGTCTCCGGCCAGGGCAGGGGGAAGCTGTTGTGCAAATGCTGGCTCTGTCGGCCGGCTGGCCGGCCTTCTCCTATCTAAACGCCTCGCCTGAGTGCACTCTTGATCTGACTCTCTGCCTGCCCTCCTTAGTCTGCTGATGTAGCAAGGGCTTTTTTGGGAATCCGAGTGCTCTTCCCAGAGACCAAGAGTGGGCCAGGGGTGAAATGTGTTTACACATTTTATTCTTTCTCAGCACAGAAGGAAAAAAAAAAAAGACTCAGTTTTTAC